GGGGGGGGGGCACGAGATTTCTGGGGCGCAGGCCCCCCCAAGACCCCCCTAGCTACGCCCATGCCGGGAGGACAAATAATTATCTCTTTGAAAAACATATTAATTTCGCTCCATAAACATTACTCAACCAGTAAACCTTACGTGAGCTTATTGATAGATAATAGATATCGTCCACTTGAGTTGCGCCTTCAATTTCGCTACATATGCAATAAACGCACACCGCGAAGGGGAGCGTGGATCTGTTTGGAAATCATAAAATGAAGGGCTTAAAGGACAAGGCGCATAAGTGCCGCTTGCGCTCTCTCGAGAAATACGTGTTTAAAGTTTCGAAGATACAAGGATCCTCACGGCGGAAAGAAACTTCAAACAGACTTTTTGATGTTTAAAAATTGGAATCTGGAAGCGAATTTTTCACAGACTATGCATCAAGACTAGTTTTACGTGGACGTATTTCTGTTGAACGGAACTAAGCGCCAAATTGAGTGCCTTTTGAGGATTTTAGAATCCCGGATAGCGCGTCCTGTCGAACGGAACTAAGCGCCATGGAAAAGCATCGCGAGTATAGGACGGAACGAGCATCACGTTCCGCAACACCCGCTAATCCAAGCCCCCACTCTCCCTCCCTGCCACCCCCTATGGCGCTTAGTTCCGTTTGACAGAAATACGTCCACTTGAAATCATTAATTTATCAATTTTTTAAAAACGGCACTTGTGCGCCATGCTCTCCAAGCCCCTCAAATGTATCGCTCGACCTGACCCTTGAGTAAACCAATGAACAATCTTGTCAAGTTAACGGTGGGTATCTTCCATCTGGAGTTCGCCTTCAGTTTCGCAAATAGGCAACAAATATACGGGTTTGCTGTTCAGTAATTTTTCGTGCCATTTTTTACGTATTTTATGAACGGCCCATTATACGAGGGGTATTCGTAAAGTAAGTTAATATTTGTCATATCTTCTAAACTAATAAAGATATTTTAAATCTGTAAAAAATTTTTGAATTGTCATACTTTCAGTTTTGTAAAAAGCTTCAGTTTTTTAAATTTGGTCTCTTGAGTGCCGAGTGACATCAGTTTCCCCACACCCGTCTCTCACCACCGCGTGTCCAAAATTGACGCGCGTCTTTAGGGGTGCTCGATGAGTGTTACTCATTTATTTCTTAGAGAGAAGCACAAGTATTGATGCAAACAGAAAATGTGATGTCATTAAAGGCTCACAAATCAGCATTCAAAAGAAAATACCTTGGCCTTTTGTCTCGTCAAGTGATGCTGCTTCATGGCAATGCTAGGCCCCATAAAGCTCATGTGGCCAATCAGTTGTTGACCTCCTTAAAATGAGACCTTTCCCACGTCTTCCTTATTCTCAGGATCTCACCCCACGTAATTTATCACTTATTACCTGAACTAGAGAAGAGTTTTGGCGAAAAAAGTTCCGTGGACGACGATGAGGTGAAAGAAGCTGCACAAAAGTGGTTGCAAAAACGGAATCGCCAGTTTTACGCTGATGGAATAAAAAATCTCTTGTTAGGGTATGTAAAATGTGTCTAACGAGATGGGGATTACGTGGAAAAGTAAAGCCAGATCTTCACAAACATGGAAATTTTAAATTTTAAACAAAAAATTCCATTTTGACAATTTGCAGGATGAAGCGGCATGCTATACCGTCCTGTGACCTCCCCAGCGCGCGTCAATTTTGGACACGTGGTGGTGAGAGACGGGTGTGGGAAAACTGATGTCACTCGGCACTCAAAGGACCAAATTTTAAAAACTGAAGTTTTTTAGAAAGCTGAGAGTATGACAATTCACAAACTCTTTACAGATTTGAATTATCTTCACTAGTTTAGAAGATATAACAAATATTAACTTACTTTACGAATGCCCCTCGTACATATGATTCATGATTTAATCGTATTAAAAGAAATTAAAAAGAATCTGTCTTTGCGGAATCTCAGTTTCCCAATCCTGAAGGATCCCTATTTGGTATCATTTTGAAAAACGAACGTGCCCTTCCTGGGCATGAACCTCGATGTGTTTCGAATCGTAACACATACGGGATTGCTAATTCTAAGACAGGTATCATAACTCCTTCAAATCAAGCGTGATGCAACAAACAGTTCACTGAATCCTCATCGCCCGCACCGCCCGCAGTAATGTTGTGAACTTATGAGTTACCTATTTACCTCACAATCATAGTATTTATCGCCGACAATCTTCAATTTATTCAAAACATTTCTTTGTTTCCTCATTATTTCTACCATATACTCCACTAAAAAATCAGTGTTGAAAAACTCTTGCAGCACTGCAGCAGTCTATTGATGGCTCAGCCAGCTCTACTATCACCAATTCAAATTTTGGAAAGAAAAGAAGAGTTTTAGGTCGTGAGAATAATGCTCCAATCATCAATTTTTTATTACTTTCAGACACCTTTTACTGCCAGTATCTCTAAAGTTTTTGTCGCAACATTTTAATTTATGTTTTTTTCACTAATCTTAATTCCTGGATTTAACATGTCAATTTAACAATTCAGACTTTCTTGCTACTTTTTATCATACTCTCGCATGAAATAATTTTCCTCATTCCTTCGTTTATGAGTTTTTTTCACAAAATTAGAAATGTTAAAATCTTTACAATATTTTCAAGAAGTTCCACTTTTTTAAATAATTGTCTAGGTGAGATAATTAATTTTATCATAAATAGCATTGATTAAATTTACACATAAATCACGTTTTTATGCTGGAAGCATGTTTCACACATGGGTCACAGAATTTGCTCGGGCGCGTGAGAGAAGAAAAACTCAATGAAATGTGGATGAAGGAAAAATTTTCAAGGCCCTTAAGTAGAAAGCCACAGAAAAATTGGGGGGAAAGGTCGTCTTTTTTAAATTTGTTAGAAATTTTTTTGAAAGCCGATAAGAAAAATGTGGAAAGCTGGCGGGCAGACTTGTGAAAATCGACGTTTCCCTCACGGAAGAACGTACCTTCATTTCAATGTTGCCAAATTTCCCCTCTCAAATTGCATTTTTACCTGGAGAATCTTTGGCATTTCTAATTGAAAATTTCTCTGATTTTTCTTCTGATCTCAGGTGTAAATGGGACAAATTTTGGACAAAAATTGTACATGCTTATTCGTGTAATACATTAAATTGTTTGAGTCAGTTTGGCAACCTTGGCATGGAGTTATGTTCCTTCGTCCAGGCAACGACGTAATGTTGAAACTTGGAAGCTTTTGCACACCTGCTTTCAAAGATTGAATTATCTATAATCGTATTGTTTTTCATGTGTTTACAGATCGATGATTTGGGACTGGTACAAGTTTAACAATAGCAACGATTGCTCAGAGCTTTCACCAAAAGCTGCAGAAAATCCAGACATGAATGCCAACGAACCCCTGTCCCTAGTTACCTCGAAACCTGATGTAAGTATCACTCTAACCGACATTAGCTCAAACAACAATAACGAAAGTCCAGAGCCTTCGCCGCTCTTGGAAGCCATGAGGCACGGAGAGAAGTTCCTTCGATGTCTGGAAAATTGCTCGGACCCCAACATCACAGCTGTCCAGGTCTGTCAAGTGCGGACACTCCTGAAAAACGTACGCAATGCTGCTGAGAGGAAGCTCTCCAACCATCGCCACAGTCCCCAGACCAGAAGAAAGTAGTAGTAGTAGTGTTGGATGAATTTGGAGACTCTCGTTAAGTGCAACTCATTGTGATCTTATCTAATATGAAGAAATAACTTTCCTAGGTAAATTGATCTGCCCTTGCAAAAAAAGATCATATATATGGAGGGTAGGCACAGGGTCGCCACAGTCAGGGAAGACCTGGAAATATCAGAGAAAATTACGAAAATGTTAGGGAAAATTTTTCAAGTCACCTTCATTTCCTTTCTACAATGGGTTTGACGTTTCGAACAACAAATTTTGCCTGAAAACGATTCTAAATTATGTCTTTTAAAGCATCCGGCACAGCCTCAATTGTCTAGGAATTTGACCAAAATGTGGTAGAGAGATCAGGGAAACGTCAAGGAATTTCAGTTTCTAAATTCTGTGGCAACCCTGTAGGTAAAATTGTATTTTCAAATTCTGTGGCAACGCTGTTGGTAAAATTGTATTTTTCAAATTACCCAAGAGGAACTGTGGAAACTTACTTAGTGATCTGTTTTTCAAGCTAAGTGCACCTTTTTGGTGACTTTAGTATATGCAAATGTAAGAATTCAACAGTCACTGTCAGGAACTCTTTCTTCTTTTACTGATGTGGTTTTAAAAAACCGAAAAATCTATTTAATGGGTGGCTCATACATATTTTTTTTCCATGTAACTTGGACCTTTTTGTGCCGTAACCAAAATTTTCATGAATCAGTGAAATTATGTGTGATGTTACATACTCTGGATAGAATAAATCTGAAATATTCATTTATTTTTAGTTGTGCATAATTGTTGCCTCTAAACAAGATAATACTGTAGGACACTTTCATATATTTCTAATTAAAGTGGAGAAGGTAAATATCGACTGTGAATCTGCAGAAAGATTGTCTTGTAGAGGAAATGTTTATAAAAACTGTCCAATCTTGGCAGCAACCAGGACTTAAAAATTAATTATACTAGAGTTAAGTTTCAGTTATTAGCATAGCTAGTTCACGCATTACTCTTAAATCACTTAAAATCATAATTTAAGGAATGAGAGTTTTGTCAAGTTTTTGATAAAATGACCACAAAATTTAATTTGAACTCTACTTAATTTTTGAGGTCTCGTAACATGAAATGTTTACCTTTTAATCTTTATGTTTACCAATTAGCAGTAGAGATTGAAATCTCAAAAGTCTCGAATCTGCATTTCTGTTCTTTAGACGAATCAATTTGATTCCTCCTCGCTTTTTAGTTTGTTGGCTCCGGTGTTACTCTGATCATATGTTACTCTGTCTTGTTTCCAATTTTCTGTCCTCCACAAACAAGGTGGCTACCCTCAGATGACTGGGCTTTTACTCATCCACAGTGTGTTGTTTAAGAAATCTATTAATACAGTTTACAATGTCATCATCAATTTTGCAAGTAGAAATCGTACCCAGTAATTTTGAAGGATAATGCGAGAGCATGATCCTACATTTTCGCATTTTGATAGAGAAAAATTGCCTGAGCTCCCACTTTTTATTACTCCCTGGAACGCATTATTAATAATTTTCTTTTGATATTTCCTTTAACTCCTCACTGTGAGTATTTGAAACTGCGACTACCTTTTGAGACTCTGAAGTTCACCTGAAATATTTTTTAATAGATTCAATTCTCACTCTCATTCATTACTGATGTAGGTTTCAGTCATGAAGAATTCAATATTAAAATTGAATTATATAATTAATTAAAATTTAATGAAAAACAATTAAAAACAAATTTTAATGAAAATGCCTTTGAAATTTTCTTAATCCTTCGAAAGGAAGTGTGAATCAATACGTATTCTGTTTCTCAAAAAGATGACTCCCATCATAACTCATCATTTGTCGCATCATTTGCGCTTTTTGGAGTTCTTATTTCAAACTCAGGTTTCTGTTAAATACATTTTACAACTTTCATCAGAAAATCGGTCAGTTATAAGATCCTTCTAGTTTTAATTAATTTACTCATTTTGTTGCTGATTACCATTTTTTTTTCTTTCTTATTTTTCCGATTTAATTTATGCTCATGTACGCCAAAACATATTATCAGTTGAAAGATAGAACTGCTGGAGAAAGTCAATATCCTTTGTTAGTCTTTATTTGTGTAAACATTCTTTCATAATCGGTAAACGTAAAAAAATGCTGTTCTTTGGAGATTTTTAGCAACAAGCTGTTAATTTTTTCTCTCCATACCTAATATACCTAAAATCTCCTAACACAAATAAAAATGTTTTAATTTATTCTGGGTCCGAACTTTCTCATCTATTCAGACAAATACCCTGTTTTTATTAGATGATCAACAGCAGTTGCTCCAATGATTGTGAGTAAAACAATAGAAGTATGCAGTTAAAGGAAATGGATGTTGACAATTTTCCATCATCAAATTGAAATACTAAATTACTGACTTAAAATAGAAGGTTTTTCATCTCTTTCACCATATCTGAAGTATTACAGGAGCAAGCATTGATTTTTTATAAACATGTTCTTCAACCAGAATTTCTTGTCCATAAGGTCAAAGCCAAACTGTAATGATTTACGTTCTTTTTCCTCTTGTTCTCTTTTACTAGGTACTTGTAGAATTTACTCTCTGTATTGTTAATCGAATGTGTTGCTTGGAATGTTACCCAACTCATGGAAAGAGAACAAAATTTGAAAAAAACAAAAGGTTAGAGGGGGGGATATAAATTAGTTTAAAAATTAAATTTTATTCCAATTGAACCGTAGGCTTTTTATTGATTGAAAAATGTTTAGGTGCTTGTTGTTGACTGGTCAAAAATAAACCATTTGGTACCAATACTTGAGCTTTGGGGTTTTTTTGTTGTATAAGTATGAGACCTTTATGATATCTCGTTGAATTAATTAGTATAATTCGAATATCCAGGCATGATTTTAATCAAAGTTATAAAATGTTGTCGAAGTAACTCTCACAAACAATTGTTTGTTGATTTTTTTCTAAGAAAAACAAATCCAAAGTTTTCGCTGACCTTGAAAATCATTTCTCCGCAACAAAATGAGTTGTTAAACTTTTTTAGTTCGGCACTTTCTGAAATGATCCATTCCATTCTACTGCTGTATCAAATGTTCTTCAGGCGTTATATAAATAGTAAGACTTTTTTGTTTCCACTTAATTTATAAATTAGATTCTTAAGGTTGCACATTAGTTCAGGACCCTAATAAAGAGTCTGTATAAACTCATATTTTTTTTAATCGACATAGTCTTGATTCGCTGAAAAATATTCTACCCAGAAAAAACTTCCCCCAACTTTCTGGGAAAGGAAAATCTATTTGTAGTTAGATTCATGTAGTCGACAATTCTGCCATCCCTCTTGAAATTCATTAGCGAAACACTCTTGTATAAGCAAATTATTTTGCTTTTCCAAGTGGTGCCCTAATTAAGCCCACAGTTAGCCCAAAAACAAAACTGAGTGTGAAAAATACTGCACGATCATGTCAACCAAAAACTCTGAATCTTACCAGAATTTCTGTCCTGACAAGTATGTTCATTACCCCCTGAAAATTCCTGAAAAATCACTCAACTTTATGTAAACAAATTAGATGTAAAGTAATAAGATTGTAAGTTCAGCATTTGACTGGAGACAGTTTGTCCTCTTATCGTAGGTTTCTACATTCTCATGACAATTTAACCCCTAACCCTCCGTTCCTTTTTTGTGAATGTTCTTATAAAGGAGTAATGGAAACAGAGGCAACACGATAATTGGTGCTAGCATCTTTCTGCAACGAGAGTCTTCAATGTACATATTCAACGAGGTACTTCATCAAAATTTTAGTGGTTTTTTCTTTCTGCAGACTGAACAGGAATTTCTTCAAGGTTATATCTTCCATTGAAGTATTGAATTCTAGCCGACCCTATTTGACAATTTGATCCTCAGATTTCTGTATAGTCCACTATTTTCATGTCTGTACAGTGCTTTTTGTAAAATAAAATTTAAATCGTAGCCAAACAGGGTCATTCTAAATTTATGAAGGCCTCTCATCAGAGGACCCTTGACTGTAAAAAGTATTTTTGTATTTTGGATCTTAAACGAATGTGTGCCAGTTCACAGTAAATGCAATCCCACCCCCAACCATTAGTTTCGACTAAAATGTTCCAAAACTTTTCAAATTTACTTTGGCAGGAAGTTGGTGTAGATAATATTTGTACATATAGTCACAAGATTGTTATGCTGTTATTGATTTTTACTGTTATATTTACCGTTTCAAATTTTGATTGTCCAAGGCTGCGTTTACAATTTGAAAATCGAATCTCATGACAAGGCAAAACCGATGTCAAGCAAACCTCTTGTGTTTCGATGAGCGTTGCAATTATCCTACACCTAGAAATAAGTAGTTATTTTTATAGTAGACTTGAATAATGATTAGGGTAATTTCAGAAACAGTGCACACAAGAAGATGCGATATAAAATCTCCTCTATTCTTTGGATTTAGTTCAAAATCCTTTTTCTTTTGTGCCATCCAGTCTTTGTCATGATAGACTATTTCTGTATTTTTAAGATTCATCTTTGTTTGACATTCCAGTTTGTGATGTATCCCTTTATCTTGAGCTTCCTTCAATTTCAATTTTTCATTTTTCACTCTCTGTTGACGAAAGCAAAGGTTTAAAAATATTTAGTAAAAAACCAAATCTCTATGTCCTGAGGCACACAATGACAGATTTCATTCCAGGGATATCAAAAGAATATTGTCGAAATGTGCTTTCAGGAAAATTGAGATTTTTGCTAAAATCTTAAGGGGAACCATCAGTTGATAGCAAAATGTGTTAGGTATTACGACGCTTGTTTTTGTCTACCAAGCTAGGATTCACCTTATACCTTACTTTATCCATGATAGCTTATTATTGAAAGTTACAGCCTTTGCAAACTTGCCGAACAATAAATCAAAATTGCATGAAATTAATTAATCAAATTATATTTTTAGAATAGCTATGTTGTATTAGATTTTTACCCCACCAGGCTTTTAAAATTAGAAATTAGATGACTGTAGAATTTGCTCAGGGAAGCTAAATGCCAGTATCTTAAGTGTTTGTAAAGAGACCTCTTAATTAGCTAACTACATTTATCTGTGAGAAATGATCTCATGTTTTTGTTCTAAAACTTCTTAAGCAGATACTCAGTTTGAGAAGTATTATTTGTAGCTTTCAGCTAGTTCTTCATCTAATGCTACCCTTATTTCCCTGTAAGTATCTCCTTTCACACTTGATCATTATTCTCCATGGTCAATTATGAACTACTTGAATAGTGCACTACTGTGAAGGTTGTCACAATCAGACTTCAACAAAACGCAACTCCTTTAAAGTTTGACTTTTAATTATAATTTGTCACCTTTTGGACTATATCTTGTAGGCGCTATTTCAGTATTCCTATGAACTTTTTATTTCTTCATAGGAGCACTGTCGCACGATTTATTTTCAAATTTTCAGAGTCTTTTCTCTCAATTGTAAAGAAAAAGCACTAGAAATCTCGAGAACATTTATGCGACAGTTCTCCTTTAAACTAATAAAATGTGAATAAGCAATACTGAAACACAGCAACTGAGATACGCTCCTTTGTGCAGAATTGCATCTACATGAAGTGTCATTGTCTGGGAAGTTAATTTAAGATTTTTTTTTCTCTTTTTGAGTCGACATTAGACTTGTTTTTTCAGCTAAGAGAGTAAAGAAAATATCACATAATAACTGTTGACCATGGAAATAATGGTATGATAACCACCATGAAGTATTTAGTTACCTTTTCTGTAAGTAGTAAAGTAAAATAATTGAAAAGAATAAAAATTAAAATCCCATGGGTTGATTTTGTCAAATAAAAACCATAACCAAAATATTCATGCAAGAGGTATAATTAAAAAATTTTAGGTATCCTTCTTAAAACTTGAGCCTTTGACAATGTGTTGTAAAAATTTCACGGGCCTCAATCCACCTGTTTTTCTTGTACATATTTTGTAAAGCGAATTTCTGATGTTTAAAGTATTTATATCATATGTTCCTATACTTGAAATTTATTCGTAACAAAGTGGTCTCGCTAGTTTGTCAGAATACAAATAATTATTTAATTGTAAGCAAAGAACTGACCTTATCTTAACTGTTATTGTTAGTGTTAGTTGAAAACCGATCTCCTGGATCTGATTATTAAAAATTTATTTTTTATAAATTTTCCCAAATTTTTATGATTATTTCATTTGTTTATTTTTGTATTTGATTTAATTTTGTACCAATATATCGCATAATTTTTTGTTAAATTTATTGGTTTTTATTTCCTGGAATAATGAACGTAGTCACATCTCTCTTTTCCCATGTAAATGAAATGAAAAACTATCAAGCGATTCGTGCAAAAAGGGACAATCTCTTGTTTTGGATGGTTTCCTGATCCTTAGTTTGAATTATAATGATCTAAGCATGTTTAGGAACCAAGAACAGAGGGTAACTTTCTTTTTGACAGTGGTTGAAATGTTCTTGAGTCCAAAAGAGAATATAATAATCAGATAACTTAAGTGCTGTAGACAAATTATTGAAAGTTTAAAGCGGAACAATAAGACATCGAAATGCCATGCATGATGATTAGGATAGGGCTTTGTCATACGGACGCAGTTGCATTATTAGTTCTGCTAGGTGTGAGAAGAGTCCTTCCCTCTGACAGTATCTCAGAATCGCTGCCATGAATTCTTTTTTTGTGAGGAAACTACAAAAATATTGTTTGATTGTGAATGATATCAAGTTAAATTTTCTTCACTCATTTTTTATCTATTAAGAAGCTCCAAAAGAAATTCTACAACTCTGGAACTGAAGAGTGCTTGCTCCGCAGCTGAGTCCTCAGTTAAAATTAATAGTGTCAACCGTCATGATTTATGTTAATAAGAATACAGTAAATAATTTTGTTTTAAAAATATAATTTTATTTACAAACATTTACAAAGTTTTAAACAAATTGAAGTAACAGGAGAAGAAAAGAGTAAAAACTCAAATTTTGTACAATGTCAGTTTTAAGAAAAGACTAAAATTTGACATTAAATGCATGTAAACCCATATGTTAGTACTAGTCTAGGTGTTAAATTAAAGCTCATTTGGACACACTTATGCTAAAAGGAACTATGAGCGTAGGGTTTGCATGCAACATAGTTCCTTTTAGAATAAATATGTCCATTTGTGACCATCCACAGGACAAGAGACCCTGGTCCACAAAAACTCAAAATGGAGCTATGAATATCAAAGCATCAAGTAGAACAATGAACAATATGACACATCAAAAATTCGAATCAGAACGCATTTCTGACAGTTTGAAATCGGTAGATCAAACAACTTACTTTCAAAGAAAAACATGGCAATAAAAGTTGTTACAGTAACATCCCAGATGTCAAAAATCTGTGTAGGACTTTGGAATGATGATGTGGACGCTGTGGTTGTTAATTCAACGTAGCTGGGACATTACTTTAACAGTCAGAGTGTCCATAACAACATTCAAGAAGTTTCAGGCAGATTTTTATAATCCAAGATGTAAACTTCAGCAATTTTTTTTTTTTTTTTTGTGAAGCTATGGGAAATCATTATCTGCCTTGTTTAGGATAAAAAAAAAATTCCATGATTTCCAACGACTTTTATGCTCTTAACTGACACGAAAGTTTACTAAAACGTTCTCAACATACTGAGAAGGATGAAGAATTTAACATTACGTTCGAAGATAAAAATATAAAAGTTTACCGTTGGGAATTCAAAATCCAGCTGTCTTCCAACTCAACTCAACAAATACTTTTTCACTGAAAATTTTTCCTTAAACTTCAGTAAAACTTACCACCACTGAGAGGGCATTTTTAATCAAAATTGTTTCAAAACTTTTCTCTTTTTGTTACCACTCACATACTCTCAAAATTATTACGCACCACTGCCTTCGTATGCCATCAGGAATATACTTTTGACTTGAGTTACTAGGTGTTACTATGAAAGTCTTAATTTCAACCGCTTAAGACATCTCATGATCTCAAGCTAGGTTGCTTTTTCGATTTGAAACTTTGAATGTGATCAGTGTCCCCACAGACGATTATTTTAACAGTTGGATGGTACCAGGACCAAAACAATCAACAGTTCAGAGAGCCAAATGTTGAGATTTTGAGACTGGAAACAAGATTAAAGAGGAATAGAGTAGGCCACTGATCAGTTTCATCCTTCCAAAATCAATTGCGCTTTTTTCAAGAATGGATAATCATCTGGCTTCTGGCCACCAAGGAGGCACATACAACTTGTCGATTATTCAGTCTCATGGAGGCATGACTACAGAACAATAAAACCAGCCAATCATCTTACTCCAATTTGGTCGAGTTAGGCAAAACAGTCACATCTGCATTGCGGAGTTCCAAAAAATCTTATCTCCTATTTTAATTTTTTGGAGGGAAACCAACCAACATCCCTGCTCGAAATTTTTTACGATTTTTCTTGCACATATGGGAAATATTTCCAAAAAATTTTGAGCAAAAATGTTGGATGGTTTCCATCCAAATAATTTTAATAGGACATGAGATTTTGAAACATTGCAATGCAGATGTGACTGTTTGCTTAACTTAATCCAATTCGTCTCACAATTAGTCTTGTCTCATCTGGTTGGAAAACACAAAATTTCAATAATTGGCCTGTATAGCCAAAGGTGTAAACTAGACATACACATACATTTGATAACTTTACTTCATAAAAACAAAGTGTACAAAATAAATACTACTCAAGGCACTTTCATAAAAGAATATACATAGATTAGAGAGTATGATAAAATCACACAACTTCACTGGTCATTTTTACAGAATTATTTTGTACAAAAATGAGTTAACAAAAACATAAACTTTTGAATGATACAATTTAAAATAGGCACATCTTTGGACGACTTCGATTTAGCATACTCAGTACGACACATGAGCAACTCCCAAAAATTCCTTTCGAATTTTACGGGAAAATTATTTTTGTCTTACTCAATTTAATTGTGACTACTGGACAAATCCCTGTGTAATACCAGTAAAATGATGAATTACGATTTTTGAATGCTTTATATCGCTAGATTTCTCATTGTTTGACACAAACTCACCGGGATGATCATCATGAAACTGGAAGTTCGAAACTTCTAAGGAAAAAAATGGAGCAATCATAGCAGTTCGATAGTTTCTTTGAGAGAACAAAATTGGAGGTCTAGAGGTGTACATATGTATGCGCCTCATACTGATGAATAAATTTTGATTCCATGGTGTGAATAAAAAATAAAAACACTAGGAGAAGAGGAACTCTTTGCTGAACCTAAAGACAGACTCTAGCCATTCAGAAATTAAGATAGCCATCAAGCATCGCATAACGTTTTCAATTTGAAAATCACTTTTCCTGAGTGATTAGAATGGTTTTGAATGAATAATTTAATGTTTGAAAACCGCTCCATAATAGTTACACATTTACAACATCCTTATTTTAATAATTTACATAAAATATACATAATACTGATAGAAACTCTCATGAACTCGGAAAAATAATAGCACCTCTGCAAGTGACAAATTATACATATCTCTCCATATTACTTACATGAAAAATAAAATAGAAACTGATGAAAAACAAAAAAAAAACAAAAATAAAACTTGCCCTCTACTTTTCATCAAGACTTTAAGGAATCAATATTAATCAAATCATGCTCGATATACAATTTATAAAATTTTTGCAGATAAGGAGGCACTTAAACAAAACAAAAACATGACAAACAATTGGGGCCAATCAAGCGTCAAGCCAAAAACTGGGTGAATTAAAAAATAAATTTATGATAATTTTTTGAACAGTTCAATACTAATCAGACTTTCAAGATTAGTAATTTTTTCTCTCTTGCAATTCACTGAGAAATTATACTTAACCAGTCAAGAATATACGAACAGGTGGGTAATCTTTAGTTTTTTAGACTCTGTTGCAACTATGAAAATGGATCTACAGATTTTAGTGTCTCTTGTCACCAAAAAAATCAAAGATCAAAAAATATTCAGAACTTTGAAACTCTCTCACAAAGAGCTAACTGATAATTAATATTCATTTTTTTTAATGACTGAGGGAGTAAAGCAGATGACCCTTTGGTCAAACACAGTTTTGCGCTTTCAATTTGATTTGTCTGACATTTTCCTCTTGCAGTCCTTTCAATGTCAAAGCAAAAAATTATAGGACAATATTTTAAGCATTGATACCCCACACGTTGTAGAAAGCTTTAAATTTGAGCCTTTTTAAAAGATATTCTCAAAAGTTTGCCATTCTCCATACATTGCAGAAATTCAAATCTTCTCCAAAAGTGCAGAAATTCACCTCAACACAATGAAACATTTAAATCGCATATATAGCTAACAGAAAAATACAGGTATTTATCTTTGTTTAGACAATAAAAAAACTAAAATAAAAAGGAACGAACTTGCTAACAAATATTCAAACATAAACTGAAAAAAATCTCTATAAAATCTTAAGAAAGGTAGCAAAATTATCATCTCAATACAACGAAGGCACAATTTTAGTGTATTTCTTGAAGGAAATAAACTGTTTGTTGCTTCATCCATCTCCATGGGAAAATAGAAATTTTAAAGTGTAAATAACCATTGCGCTTCCATGAATACTAAAAAAAAATGTCTTGCCAAGGTCGCTTGGCAAAAAAAGTCTTTTCTCAAATGAGTTAAATCAGTGATGGACAAAAAAGTGCTTCGAACTTCAAGTGTAGATATTGAAGTTCCATCCCATGCCAGATCCAACTTAATGCCATGCTCTTGATGACTTTGGGTAAACATTCAAACTGATCATGCTTGCTTCAAAACTAATGGTGAAATCGCAGAGCTGATGAACAAGTTAAAAAAGTCATCTGTAGATGAACAGACCGCTAGCGACCTAATGGGAGTTTCCTGTGAGATTCATTACAAATAGAATGCCCACTGGATGATGTGCTCTAAGTGAAATTGAGACTAACACGATGACAAAATTAGATCAGACATGGGTACTGGACTTTGTCCAGAGATTCATCGCTCGACGGTGGTGTGTCCAACTGAGGCAGACCCAGATCTAGATACTCCTGAAACAATAGAAAAAAATCGGAAAATTTATTAAATGAGAGATCAATATTGCACAGAGTTAGTCTACCGAGTACTTGGTTACCACTTTCATCCATTGTTGAACAATTAAAAATTTGAAGCAAAAATGGAATAATCTTTCGAAGCATTTCAATCTTACCAACCCTTGGATATGCTTCCAGGCGCAAAACGAAAATAAAGTCTGAAAAAACTCTGAAATTTGATGATGCAATTTTAAAATTTATGATTGTCCACGGGTGAAAGGACCATAGTGCCATGCTAAGGAAAAACGCCGTGTGAGCCTTCAGGCGTTGCCAAATTTCTCCCAGCCAATCACTAATTTTCAGGAAAATTGTTGAATATTTGTCTACCAATTTCTCCGATAATTTTGTTTGTAATTTGATCGAAGACTTCTGAAAATTTCAAGGATAAATGTTCATAATTTTCCTCTAAAATAAAAATTTTATCGAAAGAAATTCGACAACTCTCGAATGTTCATACGGCATTCTTCCTCAGTACGGCAACATAAGGCCTAAAAATTCGAGAGGAAATATTGATACCACTACCATGATGAGTGTTTGCAAACACTGTGCCGAGAAATTACCCAAAAATTTCACATAAAACTGATTTTATGATAGTTTGCAGTTTGTGCTTTAAAAAATTTTGAGAATTCTATTTAAACTTTTCGTATGAATTATTTGGGTGCAATAAGGCGGACTTGAAATTTAACTTCACAACCTTTTCCACATAAGACACACACTTGCTATTAACTTTCTTTGCATGTGTATCAACAATTATGTAAGATGGGCACATACCTCATTTGTGGTCACAGTTAATATCTTGTCAATTTCTTGCACTATTTCGGAGAAATGAGGCCTTTCGCTAGGCTGATAACTCCAGCAGTCTCTCATCAGCAGGTAGCTGTGACAAAAATTAACATGATTTGATAAATATTTTCCTTTAAAAGAAAAATAAAATGTTAGTGAAGATCTGCAATGTCGCAATCTGAGGTACACATTTTTCAACTTCAGCCATCAATGAGGCATTCTTAACAAGAGTCAAAAATTGCAATTTCTGGCAATTCAAGTGCTCCTCTAATAATATCGATTTTTAATTGGATTTAATATTAAGGGGAACAATTAGATAAAATTGCTATTTAATGGCAATTCAAGCAACAAGAAAAAATTGAGTGAAATCGCTGTAATGTTGATGATACTGCCGATTTGCTCTTAATTGATTGGCAATAAGAACACAACTTAATTTTAAAAAATTTGCAGCTTCTTCTTTAAAAAATTATACTGGGGTAAGAGTGTTTTCCATCTAAAGGACGTTTTCCATGTTTTCAAAGACATTAAAAAAGTTTAAAAACGGTAAAACTTTTTTCATGACTAGAAAGACAGCTCTTCCGCCAAATTTTTCTGCATAGATGTTTTGCAGATGAATTTCCAGGTAACTACATTTCAACTGCTCAAAATTTCCTCTCGCAAATTGTATTTTTAATAAAGAAATTGTTGGGAATTTCCAAGAGTGGATTTTACTGATTATTTTTGGCTCACAAGTCACATAATTTTGATTAATAATTAATTTTAGAGTCCATTTTTTGTAATAATTGGTTTGAGTCGATTTGCCAGCAAGGGAATTACGTTACATTCTTTTTTCTATGAAATGATGGATTGAGGACCCAAATTCAATCATACTTAAGCAAAACGCTTACATTTCTAAGGAACAGTAGGGAGGCTTCTCCATTCTGTGACCACTGCGAAGGAGCTGGAACAATTTTTCTACACTTGGCACTGACGGATACGGGGTGCCTCCAAGCGTCATAATTTCCCACAAGAGAACACCATAAGACCACCTAGAAAAAATTCGAATCAACTTATTACTTTCAAAGAATATAAAATCACAGGTACAAGTGTAGGTATGAGGAATGAAGTAGAAAATTACAACAACATACATATAACTATTTGCGTTTGCTTTTTTTTTGGGATCAAGCATTTTTTTACTTCTACCCACTGTAAAACCCTCTAATTTCGAAAGACTTGCTCAACAAAAGCTGCTTTTGATTTTATACCACAGATTTAGAAATTTTGTACCTCAAGAATTCAGAGATTTGAAAAATTGATGAAATAAAACTGTAAAGCATTCTAACTTCCCATGGGTAGGTACATATCACTATTATCAAAGCAGATTGTGATCTGTTGATCAACTTTTGAAACATTGACTGCTACTTGAATAAAATTATTTTTCTCCTGCGACAAAAATCTTTAAAGTTATAAGAAGGTTAGTGCTTCCGATCATGTCACCCCTCTTGTTCAGTTGTGCACATAAGTACATCAAAGTTTCAGCATCAGTACAAGCAAATGAAAAAGTTAAACATTTCTGAGTCAGGATCTATGCACCTGTTCCTTTATTTGTGCTGTTTTGATTATTAACATTTAAATAAGTTTGTATATCTTCAGTTTAATATTTGTTTTAGTTATTATCACTAAAAACTTAAAACAAAAAGAGACGAACTATGAGAAAAATTCAGAAATAATGGTCAATTGTGTTTTTTATCTTGGAAAAAACTGGAATCACAAATTTTGCAAGGACATGCTTAATGCGCCATCATTTATTTAAATTGGGCAAACATTATCTGAGTATCCTGAGACAGAGATGTGAGAACATACTCATTATGCTAGAAGCAAAAGAAACTCAACTAAGTGTATAACAACTATAGAAAAGTTGAGTTATTTTCAGTCCAAAATAAGATTTGGGAAAATGCCTTAGAATTTACAATTGATTTCTTTCACTTCTAGTCAAGGACTTTTGAAGTTTTCCCAGCCTTTTCAATTTCTGATTACTACTCAAGATCCTGCGATTCTGCATCCCTGTCTCCAGGAAGGGTCCTTTGGAATTTGTCTGGAATTATCAGTTAAGAACACATGACTTACACATCAGACTGGGAGGTATAGAGCCTATGGAAAAGTGCTTCTGGAGCCATCCATTTGACAGGCAAACGTCCGTCCGTTGTCTTGCGGTAGTAGTCGTGGTTGTGGATGTCTCTCGCCAGACCAAAATCAGCAATTTTCAGGACATAGTGTTCGCTTACCAGAACATTTCGAGCTGCCAGATCCCTGTGAATGCACTGTAAGGACAAAATTAGTCATTACATTAGATAAAGGAGTGCTTTATTACATAGAGGAATATTATACTATTACTTAGAGAGAGAGTCTCTCTATAACGAATTGGCAACGACCAAGCAATTTATCATTACAGAGAAGTTTGTAATTAAAGTTTGATGTAAAAAAATGCTTTTAATTTTTAGAAGTTCAAATGCTTTGAGACCATACTTTCAACGAAATATAACTACCGAGTAAAAATTCTACATGTTACATGCAAATAGTCAAATCAGGCATTTTATCAAAAGTCGAGGCAAATAATCAAATATTCTTCCTTTGATTGAAGTCCTAATTCTTTTGCTGATTCTTTTAAAATATGACCATCTGCTTGAGTATTTGATAAAATGCCTGATTTGACTAATTACTTGCGACATACTTATGTTTTGCTCCATTGCTTTTTGCTTTAATGAAACTGCCCAAGTAGCAGTGATTGCGATAAATAGCGATTTTGCCTGTTGCTTATTGTGATTATATCGGTGGCAATTTATCGCAATATTATCGAATAAAAAATTGCGATTTATGGCGATTAACTCCCTATGCATCGCATTTTTTTGTTCAATAAAATAGCGATCAATTTACGTCGATAAAATCGAGATTCAATCGCCATATATCGCGATTTTTGTCGCGAAAATATCACAATAAATTGCCGGGCGATAAAATCGCGATTTTATTGCAACAAGATAGAGGATAATCACTCAGATGTTGATGATCTTAGCGATTTTATCGCCGACAAAATCGCAACAAATCGCAATTTTTCCGTTGAAAAATGCTACTTGGGTGTAAAGAAAGGAGCAGATTTCCAGATCAGTATTATGGAAGACTTATACAGAAAATAATGTGCCCATGTAGACTGTATGACATCCCTCTGATGTCATACAGTCCACTATGCCTACCACCACCACTGTGCTTCACTATGCTTCATGAGGCAAAATCACATCTGTGTGATGTCCACTTCAGACTGTCCAGGGACAATAGAAAAAAAATAAAAGGGTAAAGAAGGCTAAAAACATTAAAACACTAAAAAGGCAGAACTTTTCGAGTCGTTACCGCCTCATTTTCAGCTGCAAAAACAAACACAATAATTAAAAAAACTGAGTGGCAACTTGACCCCGGGCCTTATAACACAACCACTCCTTGATTTTGTTTAGCCTTATTTACCCATTTTTTACTTAAAACTAGCTTGACTGTCATCAGAGTGATATCAGATTGATAATGTCCGGATATGGTTCAACATTCAACAAGCAATTTTGTCCTTTTCTTTGCCAAGTATTCCATTGAATAAAACAGGATCTTACACATCGCGATGCAAGGTACTCCATGCCACGAGCAACTTGGTATGCAAAGCAGACTAGATCCTTCTGTGTCAGATACGCTTGCTGTCCACTTCCGATGGCAGGTTCATAGCCAGAGCCAGAGGATGGCCTTCGGGAGCGCAAAAAGTCACGCAGATTTCCATGAGGCGCAAACTCAACGATAACATACAAGGGCCCATGCTGAGTGCAACATCCCAGGAGGTTGATAATATTTACATGTTTCCCTATCATCTTCATCACTTCCATTTCCGAAATGAGGTCCATCATTTCAGCATCCGTGTGTCCCTCTGCATACAAATATGAATTCATTTGGGACTTTAGAGTTGATGAAATACCAAAAGAAATTAAAAAAGAGACTAAAAGACTAACCAGAGAAATTAAAACTAACGGAAATGAATACCACTATGAAATGACCAAAAATAAAAATAGACCCTTAATCTTTCACTGGGAACCAAATAAGGGACATTCGTTTAATTCTATTTCCTGAAGATTTACGAGAATATTTATAGGATTAATATGTGAACGGATCTCTGAAAACGCACTTAATCTTCTGAAAGAAAATTTTCCTTAACTTTTGACGAACACATAAACCACATTTTTTGACAACGTACAACTCTTTGTCTTGAAATTTCAGGACTCGTATCTCCTTCAATTTCTTAAAATAGTTTAATTTCTGAAACATTGTGCTACAAGTTTCAAACTATATGAAGTTAGTTGTCGTGTTTTTTTTTAATGAATAGGTTTTAAATAATGTTGGAATGCCTGTATGATAATGGTAATATTTTTTCAATGTACCTTTCAACATTTTGATTGCAACTGTTGTGGATACACCCAGCTGCACAATGCCATCAGCTTCAGCTCTTACAACTTTACCAAACGCTCCTTCGCCAAGAATTTTGCCAATACTCAGTTTGTCTCGCGGAAACTCCCAGTCAGAATCTAGTGGAAGTTCGTACTCAGACATGGAGCTAACATCTGATGCTTTTTTATTTTTGCACATTTGTTTCTCAATTTTCACTATGGGCATCATCTGGAAAAGGAAGAAAAAAATCAAGGAATCATCTTTCAGGTGGAGCTAGGAGCTAGAGCTCTAGAAGAAACGAAGTGTTAGAATCTTATTATTCGTCTTGTTTTCAAGATTGAAAATGTGTCTACGGAAATGATGTTTTCACTTTGTTTGCTTAAAATTATTGAATGTAACAAGCGTTCCAAGCAGTGGTGGGTAAACATATGCATTTTGAGTTTTTTGTTTATGGACTGCATTTTGCAATAAAGGAACTATTTCTTGCTCATCCATAAGAATACCCATATTTACTTATATGTACATAGGAAAACTAAGTCACCTATGTTTTTTTTCTTCTTCTTTTTTTTTATAAGATGAGTTAGAAACAGAAGTGCAATTCCTCATTACAGAATATGGTTTAACTTAGGTTCTTTTTCCAGTTTTCCATTAAGATGGTCACAGAATATGTGTTAGTTTGCCACAAAAAAAATGTGATAGGTAATTCACATAACGGACCAAGCTTCCTTTTTCTCTCATCACCTATATCACAACTAATGCTAGCAAATTTACGAACGTTTGTGTTTAAATTGCCTTACCAGTTCATTTCCCATTTCTGACTGTTCTTGTTTCTCAATGATGACTTTCTTTGTCCAGACAGAGACGATTGCTGCCCGAGCTATTTCCATTGCTTGGTTCTTTTCTTGCTTTTCTCTGAGAAAAAGAAAAGAGTAGCCGTTAAAAAATAATAAACAATTTTATGTCAAGTGAAAACGGCCAGAGACACCATTCTCCAAGATCATTTCTAAACTCAAAGAAAAATGTCCTTACCCCCTCACAAATTTCCCCACACACGTGCTTGAGCATTTTCTGTACCCCTGAGAGGATTCTAGTGTGCAGTGAAACCAGGTTGTAACGGAACCTGCTCAGATCGGAAAAACCGATTTTCTCAAAAATTCTTGCCCATCTTGTGGTTTTGTTACGATAAATGCATGTAAAAAAAAACTGCTTACAGCACGAACTGTTAGACAGGAAGCTTCTGCGGTGAATTTCCCCAAAGATTCACTCACAAAAAGGGCCAAGCGCCATAGGGTAAATGCAATTTTAGAGAGAAAAAAAGAGAGCGCTTGTCTGGTTCGCAGTTACAAGCAGAGATCAACAGAAAAGAGGCAAGATTGCAGGTAATGAAGAAGTAGACAAACTCGTGTAGGAGTAGTGCCTAAGTATCAGATCTATGAACCTGCTAGTTTCTGACCAAATTCGGCGATTTTTCCTAATTTTTTCATCAATTTTTTGGTTTTTTTCCCTCTGTCTGATAAACCCTCTTATAATAGAAACCTGTAGCAAAAGAAGAAATATCTTTCTCCTGTGAGATTCTGATATGACGGGACGCCACCGTACCTATTAAGAAACACAGAGATTAAAATGAAAATTTACCTGCGAAGTTTGGTGCGGAAAACTGTAATAACACAACCTACAAAAAGCACTGTAAATACAAATGCGATGCAAAGCCCCCAAAGGAGGCGTTCATTGAAAGAATCTGAAGCAGCCAACGTAACAACAGGATCAGGTGGAAATTCTGAAAAACAATAATAAAAGAAACTGTAATTAAAGAAGCTGATGCACTTGAAAAATTTGACAGACACCCTTTTTGACTAGTTTTCTTGGTGAAAGTCTTCCTTCAAAGTCGACTTTTCAAGAGTTTATTGAAAAACTTATGCAATCCCTGAGACGTTAGCAAGTGATATTTAAACTACATTTTGTGATTAAAAACTCCTATTTCTGCCTTATTTTAGAAAATCATAAGTGTCAGTAAAATCTCTACGCAGATAGGTGCTTTTTTTCTAATTTAATAAGCTAGAAATAGTACTTCCTCTGCGAAATGCAGTCACTTTTGGGCACTTTCTTTACAAACAGGGGTTCAGGAAATAATTTTTTTTCTTCATTTTGTGTCAAACTAACAATATATTACTATGGGATGTAATTTCTACCATCATTGATCAGCAGTTTAAAGGAACTGGCTGGAGGAAGGCAGATTATGACCAAAAGTTTAAGATTTGATGCTGCATAACATGGATTAAAAACTAACCATCTAAAACTGCTAAATAGGCACTGGCTGTGGTATTTCCTAGACCATTACTGGCAATGCAAGTGTACCAGCCTTCATCATCGTGGGTGATGTTAGTCAGCGTCAGGTACTCTGCAGACTGACCATCCTAAATTTTGATAAAAATTGGGTTATTAAATTGATTAGTCGAAAACACATATAATACAAAAGAAAACGAAGATAATTTTGCATGAATTTGAAAATGTTTGATACACAGGTCAGACATGGTATTGAATGCATGATTTTTCATCTTTTTTTTTAAATTTGTTTCCTCCTATTTTAACGGTCTTGTTTTTTTATTTTTGTTTTGTTGTTATACAATAATAACTTTTTTAAACTCATGCGTCTTTGAAAAAAGCAACTTATAATTTTTCCTTGGAAATGAAAAAAAAACTTGGCCTAGATTTTTTAAAATGCGAATGTCAAACACTGAAAACTAGTTTGACCAAAACAATAAGTCATGATTACTCTTCTGACTTTTAGAGAGGGTACAAAAGTTGAGAATTAGTCATAAGAAATTTACTTTCAAATTTGATTGTAAAAACTTTATCTGAGTGTACGACAACTTAATGTCAAATCATTGGCCCAACAAACATTATAAAATACAGTTTCTGAAATGTCTCTGACAATACAAAACAGTATTTTAAATCACTTGGTAAGGGTCGTTTTACGACAGCTATAAAAAATAAGTTCACAAAACAGCACAATTATGTTCACAGAATAAATAGCGCATCAAATTACTCCCTCACCATAACAACCAATTCAACCAAGGCGATACAGCTTGATGGATTAGAGCCTAAGCTACCATCATGAAAAAAAAGCATAACCTTAGCCAAATGGTTAACTTCATAAGAAGCCACCTATTGATCAAAATAAGTTTAAATTTTAGGAAGAGGCTCATAGACACTTGTAAGAATTACCACCTCTCTTGACGAAGCAAAAGCATTAGAATATTAGAAGTTAAATTCCTCTAATTCGACAAGTCGATGAAAATGTTACAAGTAAGTATAGTTACTGTTGAAAAGAAATCACGCACACTTGAAGTATTTTGAAATTAAACACAGTTTTTATTCTCGAATCTACATGAAACGTTTCATGTTCTGTATTTTTGCTGATAAGTGTTGTGAGCAGAGTGTATCTTTCACTCATATTCATGAGTACTTATGAGCCAATTTATGAATTTGAAAATGATTATCATATTTTTAGTGATATTAAATTTCTTTAGCATTTACATTCAGATCCTTATCAGATGTGAAAATGTTCTAAAACTGAATCGATGGCTAAATGCGGAAAATGCAAATCTCAATTGCAATATTCAAAGACCTAGGATTATGTTTCGTGAGGAAAACTTATCAAAATGTTTCCTTGCAAATTCGTGTGATTTTTTCGGTATAAGTGAAAGAAATTCACAAGAAATGTCAGTATAGAAACTGTTGCTTGAAGTTTCCTTTCATAGAAATATATCATGAATGGACTTACAACTTTGCAATCTAAGATACACATTTTTAGCCATGTTTAACCATCAAAATACAATTTAGCATTATTTTCTCCATTTCTTTTTAAGTAAAGCTCATATTTTGATCAATTCAAGGGAAGTTTCTAAAGAGTTGGGGGGGAGGGGGGAAGAGACAAAAACTTCAAGACAAGCGTACACTCAGCTTTCTTTTCATTTCTGTTCTACGAACACACGTTTAAAGTTGTAGAATCTAACAACTTTTTCCTTGATTTACAATAATCTCTTCTTAGAGTCTCTCAACTTGGAAAAGGCAGCGATAGTATGAAAAATTGCAATCTGGAGGACATTAAAAAAGAAATAAGGAGGAATCCAAGATGTTAATGAATAAAGATGGAACACAAATGCTAAATAATAATTTAGGTTCTGCAATATGTAGGAAGCCAAATGACAGGCTACGTTATGATTTTCATAACTTCTTTCATAGGTATAGGACTTCTTCCATCTTATTATAACCTCTCCATGGTTACCTAGAGTAAATTCTTAGAATCAGCAGAGGTTTTTTTTACAACATTTAGAAAAAAGAGACCTTGAGCACCTCCATCATTAACATCTTGGTTCCAGAGATAATTTAGCTTGCGTCAAATGGATTACTGTTCATTGAGGAGATTTAAACAAGAGAACATTTATATTTACTGACTGTACCACAAAGGAAGATAATAATACCATATAAAACAAAAAAAAAGAGGTCAAGTTCATTATAAAATTACAGACAGATTTACATGATGAAATTATAGTTTAAATCCTGTCAACCGTTTGCAGACTTTCATCGAAGTACACAAAGCTCTCAGATCTAAAACAGTTGCAAAAGATATTAAATCAGAATTTTTCGTTTCATGTCCCGCTCAGCAAAAACGTTGGTTGCAAAATCGTTGTCACAAAGTTGCACCAACATTTTTGTAACGTTTATGTAACATTATTTTGGGCAGTTGCCAAATGGGGTCAGTCATTAGTTCCTCTTGTTTTATGAGTGTAAACAAAGAAAAATGATTGAACTCATTTACTTAAAGATTGATGACACAGTACATAAAAAAAAAAAAAGTTTTGACAACAATTGAAAGTTTTTTTTCCGATTTGCAATCGAGAGGTAAGTTTCTCATCAAACAGTGTATCCACTTGCCACAAATTAAAAGCAGACAGTACAAAGTCATGCAAGAAGAAACGCAAAGCATTAACATGTAAAGCTACCTTCACCGTCATCACCATTTCCTTTGAGATTTCAGTGTCATTATCAGAAATAAAGCCCTTGTACCAATCTACATGGTGATGAAGATCGGAGAGAAACAAGCATGAAAATGTCACCGTGGCACCGACTAATTCCGTGGCATTCTCTGGCGGGTCAGTCAAGATGGGTCTATGCTGAACCCGCTCTAGAAAAAGCAAATCAAAAGCAATTTATTTAGTGTTGCTGAGATACATCAATCAGTTCATAGCTCTGTTTGCCAGAACACTGCCGTCACTAGACTACCCCATCTTGGACGGCTAGACAAAGTAATTTATCGGAGAATCTATGGTTTGACCATTAAATAATCACATCAGTCTTAGGAAAAAGCGTTTTGTAAACAGAAAAATATGGCAAGTAACTTCTTTTTCCAAATACCAATTCAATTTTCTGTTTGCAGAGGATAATTATTGATGGATAAGTTTAAAAAACGAACATACCCCCAAAAATTCAATTTTTATTCGGGATATTTTTTGAACATGGCACGTTCAAGCATTTGAAAGTATTTCTAATTTATTCAGATGACAGTTTTTGATAGGTTCATGGATGAAAAATTACATTCTTGAACATCTTCCTTGTTTAACTATCTCATTATCAAAATACATTGATTTTTGAGTTTCTTGAAATTTACCCATCAATATGAGATCAATTGATAGGCATGACTGAAAATGTTTTAAGTGGCATCTTCTTACATTTCTTACAGATAAATCTAGGGACGAGTTGAATTAATTTATAAGAAACTCTGAGGAAAATCGATAGTATCAAATCAAATGAAAGCATTTCAATGGCTAAATATGCGAAAAATTCATATCTTGACAGCGTTGTTTGAGAATATCTTATTACGTTTTATTCAATTTAAGGAGAACTATTCAAAATTTTTCCATGGGATTTTCTTTTGCTCATTTCAGAATGAGTAAAGGAAGGTCACAGAACATTTTGATAGAAACTCATGGTTTGCTTTCCTCTAAAAAAATGAAACATGAGCTGAGACTTACAACGTCGCAATCTGAGATACAAATTTTTCGATTTCAGCCATTGATATACTGCCTGCCCCATGGCATTTTTTGGTATTTGGTTTTTAAAATGACCTGTAAGTTGCCAATAAACAAAAAATCGGAGCTTCAAGCATTTAATTCCTGGCGGAATTATTAAAATCAAGAGAGGGGATAAAAGAACCTCTCCTGAATTAAATAATGGTTGCTGTAGGAACTTTTATAATCGTTCCATAAAAATAATATTAACTTCATTAAAGAACAAATTCTCACTTAACAAGCATAACATTGATCCAGCATGATATTTGAACAAAAATAAAAAAAGGAGCTTTCACACAATGATACATCAAGACTTAGAATCGTTGACGTAAATTTTCATCCCCCCTAAATCACCCCTAAATAGGACCAATACTTGACCATATAAATTTAGCAAACCTACTAGTTAAATGTATTTAAAAATTATCGAATTACAGAATGACATCAAATTCATTTATATGTTTACATTAACTCTTATTAAAATGAAAATATAGGCGTATGTTCGGCTTGAATAGCTAAAACCGAGAGCGAAACTTGATTGATGCATCTCTAGAAGGACCGGACCAAAGCACCGATTTTGAGCTTAGAGCCTGGTACCTGTCGTATCAATTCGAATTTGGTCTCATCGTCTCCTTCGACGACTAAACCTCTGCGCCATTCTAGATGGGGCTCAAGCTCCGATAGCACAAGACACTCAAAAACGACGGATGCATTGACCAGTTCCGAAATGTTATGTAATCCGTCCTGGATCAATGGTCTGTGTGGGAATCGTTCTAGCAATCATTTCCAGACACAAATTAGACACCAGTCAATAGTTTGATACCAATAACAGATGGGTATATTTCAAATTGCTATGCTTCCTTGAATATTCTCATATTTTAAATTTAAGTATATGCTACTTCACGAGCTATCATTATACTTGCTAAAAATCATTACTTATAATCAGATATTTTACTTTGTAGAATTGTAAATACTTCCGAAAGCAGCGCAAATTTAGAACATGCTTCAGTGCTTTTTGGTCTATCCTGGAATGACTCATTTTCTATCTTCATTTGTTTACAAAAATTTTTGTAAGAATCAGTAAGAATATGCAGCGATCATATTATTTTTGGTATTTTTGTAATTCCTTCAAGAAGTATCTTTTAAAATAGTGACTAAATTCTGATCATTGCTCTTTAAAGGATAAATAAAGTCTAAAGTTGAAGTAGAGAATATCCGGAGCTAAACATTTTGGATAAATACTTAAAAGAGCATTTTACTCAGAATGGTTGTTATTTAATCCTTTTTTCGAGGAAGCAGTCTTTTGGATATGTATAATATTTACCTTTGACATCGACTTTTGAAGAGAACTCAATGCAACCTAGAAAGTTACAGATGCGACAGGTGTAATAGCCAGAATCATTGACAACAATATCATCCATGGCCATACCCCAGCCATGGTAGCGTACTAAACCTAGATGGCGGGTGAAATTTGAGACTCCATCTTTGAACCACGTTATGTTTGGCGCTGGGTTCCCTGTGAAATATACAAAGAATTCGTTTAAAAAAATGGAAGAAATTGGAAGAGAACAACATTATTGGCATGACTTTGGCGTCCTTTCGGTTGAGTTGATAAAATTGTAACTCCACAGTGACAACTGCACAATAAAATGGTATACAGAAGAGCATGGAAACAATTTCAATCTTCAATAACATAATTGGATGCATACAAACTAAAAGAATATAGCTTTTCAATCTGTTTGTATACGTACTGAGAAATTGATCACACAAATATCAAATCTACACATCAGAAACTTGTTGATTTTAATATTGACGGACATATTTTAATAAGTATTGAAATCCAGATTTTTAGCTTAAATTCCTTCATCAGCTAGATGAATGTTCCTAGACGTTGAAACTTAACTCAATAAAAAAAGTGCAGTATGGTAAAATGAGAATCTCATGAAATTATCGATGGATCAGGAATGTGGCGGCACTACGAAAAAAGAGCGTCATTTTAAAAAGAGCGTCATTTTAAAAAGAGCGCCAAAAGCAGAGAAAGGACACCTTTCAAGGAGGGCCAACACATAACAGACACCGCCAAAATTTTTCCAGTTACCCCCTCGAAATTTTCTGCTGATACATCGGTCTCATCGCTCGAGATGATAAAAAGAGAAATGATGAAATGTGAAGAGGAATCACGAGACCAAGAAACATAACAGGAAAACGACGAATGAATGGATTTCAATGATTCAACTGTTACATCGAGAATCGTCGATCGATTAGGGTGCTCAGTTTTGGTTGGCACTGCTGTCCACGATGTAGCAGCATGCAAGGCGGGAACTTTAAACATCCGGTGGGTTGAATCCAGAGGTTCAACGGATTACACAGAATGAAATTTCATGAAATCGCACTTCGCGCTGAAAAGTGAAAAATCAATTTCCACGAAATTTCGACGATTACTCGGGGGCTGCGTATGCAACCCGCAACAATTTTCCGAGAATCGTTAAGAAACTTCAAAATTTGGCTCATGCAATTTGTTTTTTCAAAATTTAAAAATTAAGCTGTTTTTGGATTAATTAAGCGTTTCGTGGAATTTTTAGTCCAATGCAGAAGTTTCAGAAAAAACACGCACAAAATTTTACCATATTCAATTACATGTAGTTTCAGGAAATGTTGGATCTCTGAGTATATCGCCTCATTTTTTTTCGAGGGCACATGCATAGCTCGGATATGTTGGGGAGGACTTCCTCCCATCCCTCTATCGCCGGGGGAGGGGGGAGCCTAGAACCAACTCCCCCCCCCCCNACCCCCCCCCCCCCGGTCCTAAGGGAGGTCTGGGGGCCTTCCCAGATAGTTTTGAAATGTTGACTTATGGACGCATTTTAAGGCTTCTATGATCTGTGACACAAATTTTCCATTAATTTTTCCACATAAATTTCGCTGTTCTAAGTTAAAATATGTTCACTTCAAAATGCTTTCGAATCATTGCACAGAGATACACTGCGACAAAGAGTTAGGTATTGTTGGCGAAAATGTTTTCCACCGGGCAGACGATACTTTTTCCAATTCTAGGGGAACCACCGGACCAGGCTCCCTGGGATCCCCTGGGCCCATCTTCGAGGGTTTCTTTCTACTCTCTTTCTTTCTCCTACACGGAAAAAATTAAATTACTGATTTAACAATTCAATTGCTAAAAAAAGTGACTCCAATGTTTTAACGTAGATTTTACGACAAAAAAATGCTACTTTACCCACTATTGTGAGCTGATTTAACCACGGGGGTGGTTGAAGTAGCATTTTTGTGTTGTGAAATCTATATTGAAAGATTGCAGTCACTATTTTTAGCAATTGGATTGTCAAATCGTCACCTTCCAGGCAAAGTATCACAAGCGCCATGCGACGTTTAAAAATTTCCGCCGCCATTTTATTTCTTTAATGAGAAATTATTGGTTGAATCTGTTTGGAAATTTCACTAAATTTTATCGGCAGCACAAAGAAAATTCAGTGAAATTTTCGGACAGCTTCGTTGAAAAATTTCTCTGTAAATAAATAAAATGGCGGCGGAAATTTTTAAACGTCGCATGGCGCTTGTGATACTTTGCCTGGAAGGTGACGAAATCAGCAATTAAATTTTCTCCGCGATAACCTTCCCGGCTTTGTGAAATGCCTCGATTTCTCCCGATTTTCACAGATTTCCTGTCAGTTGCAGTGGTGGAGGGAGGATTAAAACTGAATTTCCCGACGGATGGAGAGGGGGGGGGGTGTTACTCACCGGTAGCGGGACACTTGAGGCGAAGCGTATTCCCGGCGGGCTTATTGACGATCCTGTGCATCGTGTCCTTCTTGGTGAAGGTCGGCGGGGCCGGTGCCGCCTCCGCGTTGCCGCCTCCACCACTCGCCGACTTGGACGTGTCTCCGGGGTTCCCCGACTCCTCCACCTCGCCTGTTCCCGTCGGCAACCCTGCCACCATCTTCCTGGTCCCGTTCGTTATTCCTTCCGTCCCTCCGTCATCTTGCGGGGACACTTCTTCGGCCCCTTCCACAGGGCGAGCACACCAACATACCACGATCACGAGAAGGCACAAGGACCAATGCCCTCTCTGAAACAGGAAAAAACCGAAAATTCATTGATGGAGAATTTGCACACGAAAATTTTACTGCTTCATCTGAGAGTGCTCGATGAGCTGAGTTCGCATTATTTTCCATAATTTTTTTCTGACACGGGAAATGGGATAAAATTGAGTAAAAAGTGAGAAAATGTGCCGCCTTAGGACGTCATCTGCGGCATTTCCCGTTTAAACACAAGTATTTTAGCAAATTAGGTTATTTTGTCATATTTTCTCCAATAATTGTTAAATTTAAGAAGCAAGGATATCCTCGTACTCAGTTTCCCCACCAGTATCATTTTAAAGATAAACTTCAAATTTCAGACACCTGCAAAATCTCTAATGTCGAAAAAAAATTTTCAAAATTTTTCTTTATTTTTTTTCAAGGTTGACAATACTTCCTCCATCTGAAATGGAAGCGAGAAGGTAAAAAATAATCTCTGTTACTGGTACTTTCAAGGAGCCTAGGCCCCCTGACCGCTCCGCGGTCCAACCCCCAGAGCAAGAGGTGCTTAGCGCCGCAGGCGTTATGCGTTACTCTCATGATTTTACATTATAATAAAGTACGATTACGATTATATAGTCGCTTCCAAGACCCAGGACCGGATTTACTTACTTGCCGCCCATGGGTCGCCTGTATTTTGCCGCCCCCTTCTCATTCGTTTCGAAACATCAATAAAAACCATCAAGTGAACGTGCCGGAAGGGGAGGGGTGCATAAGACGTGTTTACTTGTGTTGGACACATTTTTTTGCGAGTGTCCTGTCAACACTACTAGCAAAAGTTCACGGAACTTTGCGCGAAAGTTAAGTTCCATAAACCTATCTCTGTGTGGACAAGGCCTTCCATTTATAAGAAATGAACGAAACAATTATGAAAGAACGAACAAAAATGTGGTTTAATAATTTTAACTTCCGCCGCCGCGCCGCGCCGCGCTGACCGCACTGTGTTTGACGCAATGCGTGAAGTATTCAGGCAGTCTTGTAGGCGCTATGCGTTTCAAGCCGCCCGCTGCTGACCGCAGCGACCGCACTATCATTGACACAATGCGTGAAGTATTCATGCAGTCTTGTAGGCGCTAATACGTGTTACATGCCGACCGCCGCGCCGAGGGTTTCTCCTTTTCATCTCAAGTTCTCTTCGTCATCACTCTCTGCGCCGCGCCGTTCCAGGCCAAATTCCGTGTTCGGTTTCTCTCTTAGTCTTAACTCGACTAATTAAAGGTGCTGTCTATTGCATCACAGAAAGACGACAAAATTAGAGATATACTTTCAGGATATTAGAGATTTCGTCACCTCTTCCTGTTTGTATTTGTTTTTCTGAATCCGATTTTTCTTTATACCTACATTTCAAAAAATTGCAAAATTTGCCGCCATGGGCCGCGGCCCATGTGGCCACCCCCTAAATCCGGCCCTGTCCAAGACATGACTATACATTTCAACGTTGCAAAATATCCGATCGTAACAAAATATCAGATGGTAAATTTAATTTTCATCAAGAAAGTTGTTTTCTCTCAGAAAACTTCATTTCTTCCTGACAGCACTCACAAATCGGGCAAATTTTGGATTTTTTTTTTCTTGGTAACCGTGAGGCAAAAAGTGGCTTTGCGCGCAAAATTATGGATGTAAGTAACTTTTTAGTTACTTTGGGCCCACCCTGTAGGTCTTCTAGTTTGACGGAATCCTTAAAGGTTCAACACTGTCTGACATACACCTAAAATGGACGGGGGGAGGGGGGGAAGAGGAGGAGGAGGTCAAAACACGGAAATAAAACTTGACGTCACCAACAGACGACCCCACAGCCGGAAAAATCATGGATTTGAGCCTTGCAGTTCTCTTGAGCGAACTAAGACAAATGGATTAACCTTCGCAATACCACTATCTCCTATGGGACTCCTCTCTCCTCTCTATGGGACAATCTCTGGCTCTTCCATAAAAGAGCCTCTCCGCATAGGGAAACCAACGGCATATATGTTCTTTCTAAAATGAGCCAGGGATAGTGATTCCTTATTTCAAAATTTGGTCCAAACCAGGGCTGCCACAGAATTTAGAAAATGAAATTCCCTGACATTTCCCTGACACATTTTGGTGGCATTCCCTCACAATTGTAGATGTGTCGAATGGTTAAGAAGGCATAATTGGACCGCGTTAAGCAGAAAGGAACCAAACCACATCAGCTATTGCCAGATTTAACCGGGCAATTTAATTTTTTCCATGAAAACGGTTCTGCGGATTTTTGTGCAAATTTCAGAGAATTTTCTGCATAGTACGAAGCAAATTCCCTGAACTTTTCAAAGGAATCCGCACAAACCTTCTTTTGTAACAAATTAGATTGCCTCGTTAAATTTGGCAATTGCTGATGTGGCTCGGTTCCTTTCAGTTAAACTCGGTCCAATTGAAAATAGTTTTCAGGCGAAATTTGTTGTTCGAAACCTCAACCCATTCTAAAGAGCAAATGAAGGCGATTTAACAAATTTTCCCTGACATTTTCGTCATTTTCCCTGACTTTTTAAAATTCCCTGACATTTCCCGGTTTTTCCTGGTCTTCCCTGACTGTGGCAACCCTGCCAAATAATGCAAGGGGGGAGGGTGTCAGGGAGCTTAACTTACGAGATACTCTCCCGATCCGAGTGGCGAGTGAATAAAGTTGACTCCGGAGCGAGGAGCGTTTCCATAGGAACGGCGGTGGTGAATGGTCGGTGTCACGACTACGACAACCCATTCACGATTACAGTCCCTTTTGAATTGCGTCCAAACGTACTACATACATTCATGAAAAATTATTTCATTCACCCGGCGACGACGGCGGTGGGTCGCCGATTGTTGCGATTCGCCGGGAACTTTCACTCCCCCCCCCTTCCCCACGCGTAGCGGGGCCTGCCCGTGAACCATGGCCTTCTCATCGGGGATGGGGAGAGGGGAGGAGGGTTCTGGATCGTGTTCGCGGGATCCCGGATCGGAGGAGCGCGCAAAAATCCCCGATTCCCGGGAGCGCCGAGTCTGGATCTGGCCGGGCGTTTAAAAATACGCGCCGCGCCTCGTTGCCAGATTTACCTGGAAAATTAGCATTATTCTTGAGTTTGTTTTATTGTTACAGGGCCTAGAGTACCTGTATAGGGAGAGTACCGACAGATCGGTTCATGGAGGGTTTAGGGCCCAAAAGTGCAGCCACCCTTCTAACCAACTTCTAACGCACAAAATTTCACTGCCAGTCTGCAGATTCCAATTCTAACCAAGATGGCCAAGAATGTACAGAAATGAGCGTTCTTCCGCGAAATTGAGTAAATTTATGCAAAAACTGAGTCAAACACGTGCTTAATAAAGGACGGTTCGTATAATAATAGTATCAGTAAATCGCTCTAGATAATTGAAATTCATAGGTTGGCTGCCCTTTTGGGCCCTAACTTTATTCGCGGAGGCATCGGTGAAGGCCTGATGGACTTTCGGAGTTTCAGATCTGTCGGTACTCTCCCTATACAGGTACTCTAACAGGGCCCTTTGACGAGATATTATGAACTCGGTGAGTTCCGCAGGGACAGGAAGGACCCTTAGGAATCAGAAAAGAAAAAAAGAAAAGAAAAGAAAAAGACTGCGACTCTTTATCATAGAGAAGTCTCTTCGAGCAGGGTTTCGTTTATCACTTCATTTTCTGATTCCCTGACTTTCCTTGAATTTTTTTGCTTTTCCCGAAATACAAAATTGACACATTCCCTGATTTTGCCTGATGCCGCAATCACACGCTGAGTGTGGGAGCTAAATGTGGTTTGAATGTGGAAGTCATCAGCCCGATGCCTGAATTTTGCGCGTGACGCGCAAAATTCAGAAACGATTCTCAGCAGCCATCGGACCAATTTTTAATTTGTTTGAACTATTCGAGTAGATTTGATACACATCTGGATGAAAATAACTCGAATCTGATAAATTTCAGCCGTTGGGCGATAACTGTTGACTTCCACTGACAGCTCCTAAATTCAGCGTGTGATTGCGGCATAACTCTCGAACAAAACTTCCACTTTAATTTTTGTCCTCTTAACCACGCTGCCTCCTGCTAAACGATAGGTACTCGCAGTATTCCGTAGCTTCCTCAATAGATTCCCTGACTTTCCCAGGTTGCCGTAAAATTTCCCTGACTTCTCCAGGTTTTTCAAGCCGCAGACAACCTCACACGTGCAATCCATTTCTGATTTGCTCCCGTTTTATGACATCGTGGTTATAGCAAACGAGCAAGTGGTTTAACCGGAGCCTAGACCGATTTTCGAATAGATAACTATTCGCGCTCCTCGGTAGGTATATTGCCTATGCAGCAAAATTGAAGGCGAACTTCGGATGGACCATGGACTGCCGATACCAATATGTTATCAGCATCGTTTCTCGATTCGATCACAAACCATGAGGCGATGTACAGGAATGTTGTTCGGATAGATAACTATTCGCGCTCCTCGGTGAGTTTGTTGCCTATGCAGCAAAATCGAAGGCGAACTTAAGTTGGACGATGCTTGTCAATAAGTTTTCGCATGGTCTATTGGATCTATCAAAGTGGATTCTCCAATGACCATATAACTGAAGTGCGAAACCACATACCTCCGTTGGCGACGTTGCAGACTTCCTGTCATACTCCATCACTTCTTTGAAAAACTATTCGATGTAATTTTTTTTAAACTGATTTGATTCCTCTTCTTCATTAGCAAAGTATTCTGTAGTTTCAAGTAATATAGTTGGCTAATTTCTCTTCAAAAATGAAAACAAGAGCGGGAATTTTGAAACACTGCCGTGGAGATACAAGGTTTCGCGGCAGAATATGGGGTGCGCGTATTTTATCATAAAACTGACAACGTTGCCGTCGCGGCTTCTATTCTCAGGCCGTCGTTTTCCGCATCCAGCCTGCTTTTGACTGCGCGCCAGCCCCCCACCCTCTGATCCCATCCTAAAACCAATTGGATGCTGGGGATCGGGTAAAACGCTGCAACTCTAAACAAAAGTTTCTTTCTTCCGATGC